CCTCACTATTTAACACTCACTCTGATCCCTTCCCTCTGCCGAGTAATGTTTAGCGCATATCTTTATATAGCGACACTACAGAGCCCTGATTAGTTTTCTTAGCCTTAGCCTTAGCCTTAGCCTTAGCCTTAGCCTTAGCCTTAGCCTTAGCCGTTTTCTGATCGCTAACCCTAGGACTATTCTTGTGTCTTGCCCACCATATACCTGGTTGCCACTGTTTGACCCTGCCTGTGTTTCTGACCTCTCTGCTCAATAAAGCTTTGCATATGGATCCGCACGTCTCACGTCTCGTCAGCCCTGTAACATGAACAGTGACAATCACAATCCACAGAAAGAGGCTTTTTTTTCTGAGCCAAAACAAATACTTTTGGAGATGTATTCAAATAACAGCAGTAAGCTGTTTCCATTCTTTTTGAGGCCTGTGCATGTATCACAATCCTCCTAGTTACTGTAGGCCTCATTTGACTGCACATGTTCACTGGTCAATTTAACATGATGTGACTTTTCAATTGAAGTGCAGTGGATTCATATATTCTCAGAAAATTGAGACGTTTTAATCACAGACTGATGCAGGATGAACTGTTAATTGTTTGTTCGGTGTTAAGTCTATGACGGAGACGATGTCCTGAAACTTGTTTCAAACGTGATAACATTTTTGTTTCAGTGGTCTATAAAGTTCTCGAAGACTTTTATTAAATGAGATGAAATGAGTCAATGTCAGTTAACCTGTCTGATTTCACAGCTACTTTATAGAAGAACATTTTTCTTTTGTTTAATTTGGGATAATTGATAGCATGAGCTCAAGGTGTAGTTAACCATGAAAATGTATTTAATTAGTAATGGGACTATTTACAAATGGTTCATAAAACATTAAAGACCCCATTTATATGCAAATGCGATCCTAAACATGTAAAAAAATAATTGAAAATCATAATTAAAACATGTACAGTGTGATCTCATTAAAGAGAACCATTTTGCCCTACATATATTTTTGTCCAATCAGATAGTCTAAAATTAGAATGTCTGTCAATCAATCAATCAATCAATCAAGCAATCAATCAAGCAATCAATCAATACTAATGGTAGAGCATGGGCCTGTTTACACTTGGTCAGTTCATGCGTTTTCGCTGATCGGATATCTGTCGGATTTGTTAAAACTTTTCCATTTACACTTGGCCACATAAATGTGTGTCGCAAAACGGATTTAAATCCGATCTTCAATACCCGCACTATATTTAAATTTAATGGAGTTCACGTCAACAAAATCAAAAGATAAGCGCTGCATATTATTAATTATCAGCTCATTTCAAGATCAAAGACTGCAATAGGAGAGCGCGCGGCATCAGCACTGGAAAGATAAGTTTGTCTTACTACTTTTAATGAAGATAATTGTGTGTTGAGAGTCTGCGTCTTACTTTCAGTTTCATTCGCGGTAGTTTGCGCGTCGGCAATGTGTGTTGCATTAGCGCTGTCATATCTGACTATAATGTCATATAGCCTATAACACGCTCTCACATGTTTATTATTTTAACGTTTTGGGAGGAGTAAAATTTGCATATGTGGTTTCAACAACCAGATGCATTTACACTTGTCCAGTTTCACCTGGAATGCGGCCCAGACCACCTCCTGAAGTGGTTTGAGCGATCGGATTTATATCTGTCTCGAATGCGTTTCGGAGGGCATTTACACCTGGCCTTATCACGATCGGATAGCTATCTGATCAGAAAAAACGCATGAAGTGACCAGGTGTAAACAGGCCCCATAAGACTAGACAAAAATCTGTGCAACATGAGTTTAAATGTTTACGATTTATAAATGTAAATATAAATTATAAATATACCAAAATAGTAAGTATATACCTACATTTTCACTGATTTACACTGATAAATAAATATATATATTTGATTTTCATTGATAAATAAATGTTCACATGTATTATTATTATTATCATCATCATCATCAACAACAGCAGCAACAATAATAATAATAATAATAATAAAACTGTGGCTTAAAGCAGTTCTAATTGAATTATTGCAGATATTGCAAGTACTGCACTGTAGGACACTGCTGTCACACTAAGCTATTCTGACATGTTGTTGCCAACACTTATACGCTCATATGCTAATGTCTACACACATAAGTACAGCTCTAACCTACTTTTTCCTTATTAATGCTGAAAATCTGTATTCTTTGTGATTGTTAAAGGTCACACTGCAGGATGCTGAATAAATGAACTTGGAAGCAGGTGCACATAAACACTGCGATTTTAAATGGTAGTAGGAGGTAAAACGTAAATGCTTTTTAAATTGAAGCATCTTTACTTCCTGTTGGGATCCTGATTAGTAAAATTATGCTAAAAGCATCAAAAGATTGCCTGATTATTATTATTTTCCCCCAAGAGAAACCTTATTACTATTACTATACTCCTATCACTATATTACTAACAAATCTTTCAATGTTTTGTATTTAATACAAGAAAAAAGTTACAATATTACAAGCTAAATAATTCTGCTGTTATACTGAGACATTACGTTTTAGACAATTTAATTATTTTTAAATAAATAATTATATATGCTTTGTTATATTTCGTAGTATAAAATATAATTATATTTCAAAACATAAATATATTTTGTATTATTTTTGCCACAAACACAAAAGTGAAACTCCTCCTCTGAACAGGTATATTCAAGCTTGAATCAGTTAATAATAATAATAATAATAATAATAATAAGTATTATTATTATTATTATTAAGTAACTGGTTACCTTTTCAGTGTAGTTATTTGTAGTTAGACCTTTTTATTTGTACATCATAGTCCTTTGAAAAGTTCTACATTTGGCATTAAATTATATATTCAAAAGAAAATCTAATTTGAGAAGATAGTTGCATGTTTACAGGCAACATCCATCATCTTTGCTGTCTAGCCAATTAATACATATCTAAAAAAAATGTTGCTTTTATTCTAGGAATTAACATACCAGCTACAACCTATATAAAACTGTTGGCCATTGAATTATTTGTAAAATATTGCAGTAATGGCAGTTTTCTGAATTAAACTCCATTAATTCAGCGATGTCAAATTCCACACAGCCATGGAAATGCAAAGCTGGGTCAAACAAGAAAAGTGGCAGTTTGGTTTGATGACCCAATGTGAATTACAGAGGGCATTCTTAAAGAGCTCTTTAATACGCAAAGTGTTGCAGGAAGAGAAAACAGACAAACAACAACACATACAGAAACACATAATTGGCCGTGACCTTTGCGCGAGGCTCCCGCAGAACTGGGCAGCTCTTCAAAAGAGCGGTTTCAAGGAGACAGGAAAAGCAGTGGTGTACTCTGTGAGACAGGCTTCTATTCAGCAGCCCTGCATGCAGCTGTCCCTCTAGGCCACTTTCTTTGATGTGATAAGAAAAAATATTTAAAGATATACGCTGCCTTTTGAAGATAGTTTTCCGTGTGCACTTGTGCACCGTGGCGGAGTTTAGGGGGATTATAATTATTATTATTATTATTTTTTTTATATTAAGTCAACAATTGACCAGCACTTTTTAGGCACTGAAACTAATCTGTCAATGTTATGC